CTGCACCAGGTTGGAGCTCCAGCTGAAGCACTTGCCGCAGTCGGGGCACTTGTAGGGCTTCTCGCCCGTGTGCGTGCGCTGGTGCTGCACCAGGTGCGAGCTCTGTGTGAAGCTCTTGCCGCACTCCGAGCAGGTGTTGGGTCGCTCACCTGTGTGGATGCGCTGGTGTCGCAGCAGCTTGGACCACTGGCTGAAGCTCTTGCCACACTCATTGCAGATGTAGGGCTTCTCAGCTCCCGAGGGGCGACCCTGCACCAGTTCCCGCAGGCTGGGCTCGCTGGCCGGGACCTCCGGGGGGCTGTTCCAGGTGGGGAGGGTCCCCCACTGCCAACTGGCCTCACAGGCCTTGGTCCAGTCAGACGGGGCAGGGACTACCTCAGGAGCTGCAGTCTGGTGGTCTGAGGGGTTGGAGGGACCCAGTGGGCCTGGGGATTCCTGAGAGGCGGAGGGGTCCTGGGAAGGGCTCTCCGGGGGCGTCTCGGATATGTCCTTGGACTCTGGACTCTTAGATGGATCTCCCAGGATGACCTCCTCCCCAGAACTCTCCTCAGGGCTTTCCGCTTCGTTCCCACTCTCGGCACCTACAGACAGAAAGGGAGTCTCCAGCCCCCGTCTCCTTTCAGAACATGGGGTCTGGTCTCTGCCCTCCCCTGGGTCTCCCCCAGAGTCAGGGCCCCTCCCTGAGCTGGGGCCACTGCTTTCTCAGGACCACAGGCCCTTCTAGTGCCCTCACCTCCGTGAGCATCATTTGTGGTCTCTTCTGGAGCCTCCAGAGCCGGGCCCCACAGTGCCGTTTCAGGTTCCATCCCAGAGCTCAGGACCAGAAGGGATCCGGGGACCCTGGGAGGGAGAGAGCGGCACAGGATGGCATCCGTGTTTTCCTCCCCCGACCACATCCTCCCTTACTCCTACTCTTGTGAACTTCATGCCCAGCCAACTCCTTTTTCCGGCACCCCACTGTGCCCTCTTCCCTGCAGGCCTGATTCCTGCTCCAAGACCACAGCCAGGCAAGTAAGTGAACTTAAGAGTGCAATTAACAACTCATCAGTCATAACCCTCTGAACCAGACTGGGGGCTGGAGAAGTAGCTGACACCCACAGGGGAGCATGTTCTCACCTTACACCTCTGATGCCCAGAGGCTGGGAAACCTGTTATTTTGCAAATCAGAGGAAGCTCATTAAACTCCAATTTTCCTTCTTAATGGGGCAACTAATTGAGACCAATAAACTTTTACCCTTATGAGCCCTACAGAGAACTGAGGTTCACAAAGAGTTAAACAAAACAAGACAAGACGCCCAACTTCCAACTTCCAAGAGGGAAAGGGAGCCCTGCAGAAGGACCAGAATATTTTCCCATTATTCAAGCACAGAAAGAGGGTCAGGCCTGGGGGGAGGGGCAGCTTAATGGCAGGAGCTTCTGTAGGAGCCTTGAAGGAATGAAAGAAGGGAAAGCGAATAGAGGTGTAAGGAAAATATCTGCAGGAATGAAGTCCCTGCCAGGTGTGCTCCTGTCTCTCTCTCTTGTCCTCCCAAGGTCCAGTGAGGACACAGAGAAATCGGGTTGTCCATTTTACAGATTAGTAAATCGCAGTGGGAGAGACTTCTCTATGTCCCAGACTGGGAAGCGATGGAACTAAGCCCACAAATACAGGGCTTGGCTTAGCCCTGTCTCTGGGAGCATGAGGTGACCTTGGGAGTCATGTGAGACTCATACTTGTGGGCTGCTGGCAGGAGGCCAGTGGTGAAGAACACTGACAGGTCCTGCTGGCCCTGAGAATGGGTTGGAGGAATTCCTGGGACCGGAATTTCTTTGGCTATAAAAGGAGGTGTTGGACCCTGTGACTAGCCTTGGCGATCTGGGCACAAGACAATCTTGTCCTTCCAAGCCCTCCAGTTCCAGGGTCATCTTGGGCCCCACCTGTAGTTCTTTTGTTCCATTTTGTTGATGTTGTATCACAGGCCCAGCACAGTGACTAGCACATAATAGGTGCTCAATAAACATTTTGTTGAATAGCTGAAAGTGGAATGAATGAGCTAGATACCCTTTGTTCATGGAAAACTTTGGTCCAATGGCTTTAAAGATTACTTTGTAAAGGGATGGTGGCAGAGGAACCAGAATTCAAAGTAAGCCCCCTGGAGAAAACACTGCCAAGCGTTAGTCCTAAATGGTGAGTTGGTTCCAGAATGAGGGAACAGGGCCACTGGAGCCAAGGCTTTCCCACTTTTCCAGCCAAAAGGGAATCCCTGGGAGGGGCCTGGGCACTGGTGCACAGGGGACATGGTGCAAAGGAGACGGGCAAGGACTCAGGAGGAGGCAGCTGAGAGGTAACCGAGATGGAGCCAGAGCCTGCTGAAGCCTGCCGAAGAGCAGTAGGAGAGAACGAAGTTAGAGTTTCTTCACCTCTGCAGCTCTTTGGCTCTGAGAACCCCCTGTGTCTTTGGGTAGGTATAAGCAGGGACCCCTGCCCCACCGGGAAGGACGAAAGGTGCCTGCGGTTTGCTGGCCACAGGTAAGAGCTTCTGCACCCCGGTTACCTGGGCTATGCAAACTCAGTGGTCCAGAGTAGAAGGGAAAGGGTTAAAGCTCAGGCCGACACGGAATCGGGAAGACCGAGGGAGGCACGGTGCCTGGAGCCAGCCTAGGCCCCAGACACCGGCCTCGGACCTCACCTCGAGACGCCCCACTGCGGAGGCGCGGAAGAGGAAGACGGTCTCCCGGAGAGGTGCGGGGTGCCGCGAGGGTGACCCTGACGCGGAGGCAGCGGGAATGCGCCCCCGCCGCCGCGCCCGCAGCAGGTCAGACCCGGCTCCCGCTCCAGCCGCACCCAGACCCTCTCGGCTCCCGGGCCGGGCCCGCACCCCACCCGCGCC